TTTGATAATAATAAAGCAAACACGGTCGTCAATTGAAAAATGCTAAATTGACCACACAAGACAGGCTGCGAGAGGCCCAACCTGGCTGTGTGCATTATTACCGCTCGATTATTGATATCTCTGCTCTCGTCGTCTCGTACCTCCCTGCTCCTGCTCGCACGACTCTCAGTCTCTGTGACTGGGCTCGTCGAGTCGCTGTCCCGGTCTTTTGGATCTCTATGCTTCTAGTATGAGCAAGACTTTATTGTAACGACCGTGGGTTTCGGTCTGGAATGGAGCAGGCATGGGATTCAGGGAATGGGGTAGAACAACACATTTATTAACTCGAACCTGGGAAAGGTACACACACAGGGACAGGGGTTACAGCGCTGCGATTTCGATTTGTAAGAATTTTACTTTCTTTTCACAAATAAATACAGGGAATCACAAAATAGAAAGCTTTACATTAATATGCATTCTTAAAACAGTATATATGATCACATCTCATTAAGTTTTGACACGGTAACAGTTAAATACAGTAGCAACAATTTATCTTGTTCCGGTGCTAATCCCATTCTTTACTTTAACATGATAATGTTTTTCCCAGCTTCTTGAGATACTGTCCTACGCCCTCTATTTCCCACAGGTTTTCTGCTTCCTCTCTCCCTTCTCTCCACAGATCTCTGAGGTGATAGTTCTCTAGGGTGATGGACAGGGCCAGGCTACCTGCTGCCTTGACTGGGACCTCGATGCCTTTGAACAGCCCCATGTTCCTCACTCTCCACAGGGCGTCTTTCCCACTGTTCACCACGGCCCAGATCCTGTCAAACACGTCAGGGGGAAGTTTGACAGGAGAGATGCCGTATATAACTGTCACGACTGCCAGCCAGCAGAGGTCAACTCGTAAGCGATCAGCACCAGCAGCGGGTTATTATTAGAAAGCGCCGCCGCACGCGTTAACACACCTGCAAACGCTCTACGCCGTGTTATTTATACCATTCTAACGTGCTTCCCACTGCTCAGTATTGTCTACTCCTTGAGAGCTCTACCTTGCGGTTGCCCACGGGGGTCTGAGGTGTAACGAAGTCTTCAAGTTTTTGGACACCGACATCTCGGAAGGGAATGTGGCCAATTGGGTGAGATCTTAGAAAACTTTTAACTATCCCATAAATTGCAGGGCATGTGTCAGAGAGTGGGACATCCAGCTTGGGTCTGACACCCCACACTCTGAACACCTCCTTACCTACCTGGCAAAATAAGTCCAGGTACGCGCTTCAGGTGCAGTTGCAAAGCCTCTCAGCACAGAGGCCAGGAAAATGCACAGCAGCTTCATAGCAATATCTGGGACAGACCTCCCCCCTGAGGGTAGCGGCCTGTACATTATTTCCTTCCTGAGTCTTTCCTGCTTCCCACCCCATAGAAATTGAAACATCAATCTCCTCAGCACCACTGGAACACTGTGTGGATTGGGAAGGTAGAAGCCAGAAAATTCAAGACAGGCAAGAGCTCTGGTTTGATGACCAGCACCTTCCCTGTCAAGGTGAGGTCTCGGTCCTTCCATTGCATCAGTTTTTTATTTAAGATTGTCAATTTGTTCTGCCAATTCACTGTTTCCATCTCTTCTCCAAAATACACTCCTAGGACCTTAATTCTCTTCTCTTGCAGCCTGAGATCACGGTCTTCTTTTGGCTCCCTCCAGTTCTGATAAAAAATCTCACTCTTAGATTTGTTAATTTTTGCAGAGGAAGCCAAAGAGAACTGATCACAGCACTGCAAAGCTCTGCTAATTGAGGCATTGTCAGAGAGGAGCAGGGTGACGTCATCCATGTACAGAGACGTCTTTACCTCTCCGCCCCCACTTCCAGGCGCTGGAATCCCATTAATGCCCTTATCCTTGCGCAAGGCACAGGCTAAGGGCTCCATAGCCAATATGAATAACAAGGGGGATAATGGGCAGCCCTGCCTCACCCCTGAACAGACTTCAAAGGGGCGTGATCTATTGCCATTAACCATTACTCTGCTGTTGCTACCTGTGTACAGCAGGTTTATCCACTTTCTCATGATGGGGCCAAACTTCATGTGCTCAAGAACCGATGTTAAGTACTGCCGGTTTAAGCGTTCAAAGGTCTAGGTCTACACCTAAAATGCACAGAGGGAGGGAGCGGTCCTCTGAGTACAGACAGACAGCCCTCGACAAGGCCAGGTTGTCACTCATCAGGCGTCCTGCTATCCCACAAGTCTGTTCTTCACAAACACACACACACACGAAAGGAAGAGGCTGTCTCCCAGCTTCCTCCCCACTATATACAGTCCCGTAGTCTCTCAGACCGCCTTGCATGTGCGTGGCTCTACAATATTAACAAAAAAAATTCAGGTTTACAATTTACACTCAATTTAGTGCGCAAAAGTTTTTGCCACTGGAAAAAAAATTGCACACCTTGAATTTTTTGTGCGCACAGGCCATCAAAAAGTAGAGGGAACATTGAAGGGGAGTCCCCTTTTTACAGACACACACACATACCGAGAGGGGAAAGGGTCAGGGTTCAGAGAAACTCAGAGCAACAGCTTCAGGGGGTGGGATGCTACAGCATCTCTTGAAAGGTTCTTTTTTCTGAGAACTATGGAGGACAGAGAAACACGGGAGGGGTGAGCATCGAAGGAAAAGCGTAAGATGGAAAAGAAAACATCCTCTGGGAATGAAACAAATTGTTTTTACATTGTGCGGTGTTCAAATTCCAAATGATCCCTACTCAGCATCACAGAGAACTAGGATCCAGCTGATGTTGGGGACCCGAGGAACCCCAATGCCTTTTCTTCTGGCAATGCTGCGAGCTGCTGTCCATGGCCTTTGTGGATCACTAATCACTCTCCCTCGGTCCTTCACAGCCAGCGTGCGCCACGCTTGCATTGTCATGGAAACCAATTTCAAACAGCTACTGTACCTTGGAAATGCAGCAATTCAGGGCCGTAATTATTTAACACAGATACGGCGCATTCAAGGTCTGATCCTCATGCTTCAGAAAACGAAACAGTGCGAGTTTGTAAGACACGAAGGTCTGTTTGATGCAGATCTTCCACGGAGCCTTTCATAATTTGCACCTGTGCAGTAATTTTTACAGTTCTGTTTTCTCAAAAACTGGAAGCTTTTGCTGACTATGTTTTTTTTTTTTGTCATCAATGTTCTCCTCTACTGTTTTGCTGTTAACATTAGCGTGGAGAAGATCTTCAGGACTAAACCTGATAGTCCTGCATCACAGTTTTGTTTTCTCTCCATGATGCTGATGAATGTAAGGCACCACAGTTCAGAAAATACAATAGATCACACAAGTGCAGTTAGTTTATGAGGCAAAAAACAAAATGGCCATTAAACACAACCCTTTTTTCCCTTTCCTATTCACTGCTTTACTATTTTAAGTGAATCCTGATTCTCATTTTTGCTTTCTGGATGGTTTATCACATTCTTTAGTGACCTACATCCTTAGGAATGCATAGCTTCTGAAAAGGTTTCTTAAAGGTGAATAAAATTTGACATTTAATATGTCCAATTTATGTGCTGTTGCACCAAGTGCAGAGCATTGGTTTTCTTGGCACTAGACATCTTTTTTTTAAATCATGCTGGGGCTTGAAGTTCATTTTGTTGTGAGACGTGCGAATGTTTCTCAAGTGTCACTATTGACTTTTTCAACAAGGTGTGATTACCATTGCCTTTCTGTCAGAGTGCTTTGGTTATTACAATATGTCTGTTCTGCAATCAGTCCGCCCAGAGCCCGTAGCAGATCAGCGGTCACAGTGTCAGTGAAGAATGTCTGTCAGTGCAGTGGGTGATACAGATAACACCTTCACAAAATGCCAATCTGTAAAGCAATTAAGAAAAACAACTTTTTCAGAGCATTGCATTATAACAGTTTCCCTCAGCTTCACTGACCCTGTCAGACTGTTAATATTGAGATGGTACATTTGGTGAAATTAAAGGAAAGTTACTCATAGCTGTTGTGAAGTACTGGGTCTCTGGGTTCAGTTTCTGGGGTGCTACTTTATCTGCATTGAGTTTGTATATTCTCCCCATGTTTGCGTGGGTTTCTTCCAGGTGCTCCTGTTTCCTCCCACAGTAATAATAATAATAATAATGCTTACACTTATATAGCGCTTTACAGGTAATGGGGACTCCCCTCCACCACCACCATTGTGCAGCACCCACCTGGATGATGCACCAGGGGAGGAGAATAGAGTAAAGAAGCTTATTCATAGAGGGGGATTATTAGGAGGCTGTGATTGGTAAGGGCCAAATGGAAATTTGTCCAGGACACCAAGGTTACATCCCCTACTCTTTTCGAGAAACGACCTGGGATTTTTAATGACCACAGAAAGTCAGGACACGGGTTTTACGTCTCATCCAAAGGAGTGCACCTTTTTACAGTACAGTGTCCCCGTCACTATACTGGGGTATTAGGACCCACACAAACTGCAGGGTGAGAGCTTCCTACTGGTCCTACTAGAAGGTTCAAAACATACTGGCAGGTTACTTGAGTTCTGGGAAAAGTGGTTTGTATCTGTGTTTATGTTTTTATGTGTCCAGGGTGTTTCCTTCCTTGCTCCTGTTTCTTGCAGGAGTAAGCTCCATCTCCCCTGTGACCCTGAAATGGATAATGAGGTCAGAAAATTGATGGATTAATGGCCAGTTCAATGCCTGTTGAAAAACATGCATTATCTTTTAAGCTTAGGCTTAGGTCTGTAGGCCTATTTTAATTATTCAGAATTGTTCGTGTTATTGCTGGTTATTGCAAGCAAATAATTCAGGCCTTCAGAGTCTTAAACATAACTAGGACTTTCCACATCTAAGCTTGACAATGTCAGAGAAAATATTTTCGCCTTTTCACACGCCTGTACAACACTGAAGGCCCCGGTGGATTTTGGAGGCCATCCAGTTAAAGCAGAAGGTCTGATGAAACTGAATGGTATGGCAAGCACATGTGGCTGTCTGTGTGCTAGCTGGTCCAAACGCCAAACCTGGAATACAAACAAGCAGCAGAGCTTGCACAGCTTCAAGAGGGAATTTCTATCATAAATCATTGAAAATGTGTGCTTTCTGACTAGAATAATACACATGTTTTATCATTGAAAGGCTCAGGCAGAATGATGCGAGAATGTTGATTCGTGTACAGTATATCATCAATTAACCCCTGCACACTGTCAGCCGATTCTCCTTCCTGAGTATTGAGTGATTCCACCTTACTAATCACTAAATCAGGTGAGTTACACAGTTCAATACTTTATTTCCTGTGGGTTGGTGTGCCAGTGAACTAACCTAAACAAGAGGGTTTCTCTTCAAAGTCATACTTGGAGTTTCATATTTCATTTGAAACATCTGTGAAAGAAAGGCAATGTTATTCACATGAACAGGTCCCGTAATTCCAATGTTCTGAGAATGATTAGGTTTACTGTAAGGAAGATATCTTGTTATAACTACAAACAAAATTCAGTCACCCTTAATCTTGATTTATTTCCTGACATTGTTTAGCCTATTTTCATAGTTCAACGTCACTATCAGTCTAGAAATAGGATAAGAAACAATGGGATACATCCAAATTTGATTTTAAAATATACATATGTTTTATTAAACATATTTCAGCAATTACTGTAGTGACGTCCGCAATATGGTCCAGTAGTATTATCATGGGACTGGATATGGATAATATATATATATTTAATGTTCTACAGCACTTCCAACAAATGAAATGGAAATGGGTGGATAGCTAATCCCTCTGTCCCTTTATACTGTTTACATATTCTGCTTTTCTGGGCTTGTAGTTATGTCTTTGTTGTTCTGAGCGCATTTGTTTGAATGAAATCTTTCAGAGACCTACAGTTTATTATTATCCATTATTAGAAACAGATAATAATGTTTATTATGTACAGTACTAGCTGTAATGAGTAGCAGCATTAGCGTCTTGAAATGGAAAGATAAACCATTTTTATTGTTTCAATTATAAACAGATTCAAAGGGAAAAGGGGGGAACAATCATTCAAAAGTTGTTTGTGGGGAGCTTTTGTAAAATGACTCAGGAGATGAGAATAAAAAATGTTTTCACAGGCCAACATAGAGCTTTTCTGAACAACATTTTTCAATTAAAACAGCAATTAGAAATCTCCCTAAACTGACAAGGAGAATCCCTTTGACACTGGCAAGCATTTATCAACATAATTTATATATAAGGCCTTGGGAGTGTGTACCGCCATTATGAATGTAACCCGAAACTCATTATAATATAAATAGATCTTCTTATGAAGAAGTCCATCTGTCCATATTCAGAAAAGCTTCCTAACCCTGGTAAGAGTAGAGTCAACATGAAGTTTAGGAAAAATTCACAGAGTTCAAAGAGAGATTGTGTCACGATCGGGATCCCTCCTCTTAAGGGCGTTCCAACCCTTTTGTATTTTAGTGGATTATGTGCACCTGCCACCTATTCTGTCTCCTTATTTAAGCCTGGCACTCTCGTTATTCCTGGCTCAGGGAGACGGATGGCTGGAAGCCCGCCTACCAGCGGGACCAGGAGAGACCCGATGGCACAGGCTTCATCCCAGCGTCCTGACCATCTGAGACCAGGGCTCGGAGAGCCTGGCCTCGTTACCATGGTTTTTATTCCCCGTCCCTGTTCCGGATCCAGTCCCGGATTTTAACTGTGTTCATTTCGTCTTGGATGGATCCCCTGGTTTTGGACTTTGGACTGCACCCCGGATTCCCCCTTTTGGACTGTCTGGACCTGTTCACCCTTGCCACACACCCCGAACACCAGATCACCGTCCTCACGCCCCCCTGTCTGTCTACCCGTCCTATCCTGCTGTACAAAGTCCAAAGTTCCCTGGATGTCCCTCCTTGGGGACACCAGTCAGACAGTTTAGAAATAACTAACCTAGCCAGCACTCCATTGGAAGCTGAGAAGTGAATGGAACCCCCAGCAAAAACCCACCCTGTTTGTCAGGGAGCGTTCTCTCAGGGCCCTATGCAGACAACGCAATCTGGGGGGGGGGAGTGAAGAAAACACAGAAAAAAAGGCATGCATGGGGCTGGAAGGAAAACAGGGTGCGTATCCATGGTGCGCTGGTGTTCGGGGGAGGAGTGGCCGAGGCAAACAGTCAAAGGGAGTCCGAGGCAAATCCAGGAGTGTAGCAAATGTCCAAGACCGGGTGATCCATCCTGACAGACAATCAGAGTTAAAAGCTGGAGCAGGATCTGGTGGAAGGACGGGGGAATTAAAGGGGGTAACGGGACCAGACTCTCCCTAATCCCGGACTCAAAGGGCAGGACGCCATGATGAAGCCTGTGCCATCGAGTCGCTCCTGGACTCGCGGGTGGGCGGGCTTCCGGGCGTCCATCTTCCAAAGCTGAGCCCAGATTGGCAGGAACACCTGGCTTTTAAAGCACACGGGACAGAAACCGGAGGCAAGTGCAGGGGATCAGTACTGAACAAGGAAGGGCTGGTTACGATTGTGACACTGTTCACACTACGAACAAGCAAATGTGACCCAGTTCAGAACTGAACTCACACCATCCATTTGGGCCAGGTGCCCCATGTATTGGATTGGATGAAGATGCGCCTCAATGTTTATACATGCACTGCAATTAAAAAATGACACTTAAATGGATCTGCCCCCCTTTGTGAGCTTTAATTTCTTTGCTTTCTTCTTACTAAGCCTGAAAATAATTTAGTCTGTTTACTCACTTTTATTCCATGATAAATGTACATCATCTACCATCTGCCTCAGATATGCATATAACTAAAACACTTCAGCAAATTAACTAAGAATAAGTAGAAAAGCGGAAAAATATCTTTAAATCACGTAATCTTAAATGTGAATTTAATCCAAGGATGGATTAATGAAAAATAACGTATTATTCCAAAGGGAAAGGAAACACAACCTTAATGGATGTGATACATGTGTTACTCTCAGGGGAAATCTTACTAATGGAGTAGCCTTGGACAGCCGCTGGGGTAATGAACGACATGACCCGCTGATGAGTTTGTCAACTATATCACCCTGCGAACAGAATGGTGAAATGTGTTTTCATCTATTTTCTCTGACTGCGTAAAAATGAAAGCTTACATTTTTTCTTTTAGAAAATGAAGCACAAGCACTGATAATCTTGACAATGTTATGCCGTAGCCTAATTACGTAAAGTCTTTCCGAAGCAATGAAACAAAAGTATCCAAGTGGGACAGAAAACTCGAAAAAAGAAATTACATGAATTTTTACAAAAACTAAATACAGTCCCTGTATGTTGTATGTTAACATAACTGTATGTTACGCTCCCTGTTATAAACCGCTATGCCATTCGTTCGGTTTTATGTTGTAAACATAGATAAAGGCTGCTCTTTCCTCGTGGAAATAGTATTAATAAGCAGACGTTTTCCATTCAGGTTATGTGTTTGGGGAAAAAAAAATTGCCTCCTGTCCAGCATGTATCTTGCCTTGTGCCCATTGCTAGCTAGTTCGGGGTGAAAAGGAGTTAGCTGTGCTGTCTTTTTAATCATTCGGTGGAAAAAAAGCTCAAAAGCAAAACCGTTCAAAATGAGGTCTCTGCTTAATTAGCCGATTCTATCGTATCTATAGTTGTCACAGGATGATAAGGATAGGCCATGAGCTCTCTGTTACAACGGAGCTGATGTTGATGGACACCGTCACAGAGGTGGTGACTGGACTGGACCCAAGTGCAAGAGACCGGAGAGTGGCAGAGACACATGAAGAGAGCCAACTGGTTGGGGATCGAGCGAAAGTGAAGCGAAAGTGAGTGCATGCTGAGCTTAATTAGTATTTATTAATTAGGCCTAGCCGGTCAGTAATGAAAGAAAAAGGGCAAAGACATGACAGTTTGGAGAGATGCTGGCTGGCCGCATCCCATTCGAAAAGAGGGGAAATGCTGCATAGCAGAGAACCAGTCTTCAGAGAAACTGTCCACCGCAGCTCGCCGACCGGACCAGGGGGTGTCGCTCTTTCAACTCCAGACTGAATCCCTACTTCCGGGCTCCGGGGAAAAGGGGGTCACACGGGTCATGAGGGTAGCTTTCTTGAGTAGCCAAGGATACAGGCAAGCAGAGAGGCGGAGCGGCACAGGAGATAGAAAGAAGCCACCAGAGCTCGCAGCTGGACTTTGCCCCGAAAGGCTACACTGTGAGGAGGGGCCTCACCGAATTCTGGCTAGAACGCCCAGACCAGGCATTCGCCCTCAGCTCTGTCTCCCAGGCTCCTCACTCCGATGGAAGTGCCCAGGTGTGAACAGAATCGGATACCAAGGTGCCCTTTGGATCAGACTGGGGGAGACATCTGCTAGGAAGGGGTGACAAAGTCCCACTCGGAGTCCGAGAGCACAGGAATCCTCGGGGAGCCCAGGCTAGCAGGGAGACACTTACCGAGCTTCAGAATGCCTGGCTCAAAAGGAAGAAAGGAGGAGGCGCTGCTGGGGTGCTGGAAGGTGGCTAGGAAAAGGAGAAAAATAGAAAAAGGAGCCCTGGAGGTCTAGAGAAAAAAGGTCATGGCGCAGGGCGGAGTGCAGACGGAACCGGAGCCCTGGCGCAGGGAGGAGTGAAGACTCGGAACCGGAGCCGTGGCGCAGGGCGGAGTGAAGACTCGGAACCGGAGCCGTGGCGCAGGGTGGAGTGAAGACTCGGAACCGGAGCCCTGGCGCAGGGTGGAGTGAAGACTCGGAACCGGAGCCGTGGCAAGACTCGGAACCGGAGCTGTGGCGCAGGGTGGAGTGAAGACTCGGAACCGGAGCCGTGGCGCAGGGCGGAGTGAAGACTCGGAACCTGAGCCGTGGCGCAGGGTGGAGTGAAGACTCGGAACCGGAGCCCTGGCGCAGGGCGGAGTGAAGACTCGGAACCGGAGCCCTGGCGCAGGGAGGAGTGAAGACTCGGAACCGGAGCCGTGGCGCAGGGCGGAGTGAAGACTCGGAACCTGAGCCCTGGCGCAGGGTGGAGTGAAGACTCGGAACCGGAGCCGTGGCGCAGGGTGGAGTGAAGACTCGGAACTGGATTGCAGTGCAATCTGCGATAGAAGCGTGGGCCTTAAAAGTGCAGGCTGCTTCAGCAGAGAAGGGCGGTGATGGTTAGCAAAGAGACCTGGAGGTCAGGACCCTGGACGCTCAGCCTGGGAAGCCTTGGCTCTTGGGCTGATCCTGGCAGATCGGATTCCTGCTGCCGAGCTGAGATTGCCACAGCTTCTGCCCACCAGACTGGAGGAATAAGGAGGGTGGAGGCAGTACTGCAATGGGGATGAGCAGTTGAATAATAAAAACCTTCATTGCTCATTAAGACAGATCGCCAAAAAAGGGATCCCATCAGAGCGGCCAGCCCTGGAAAACCACTCGAGAGAATGTGCCGGTTTCCCATGGAAACTGTGGGTCAAGAGACGCCGCAGGACAGTGATCGTTACAAGACTTATACCCAGACCTTTTACTAAACAAAGCTTTTTTTAATAGAGAGACATACGACAAAGCCATATGCTCATTTAACAGTTAAGCAAATGAATTTTCATACTGTTTTACAGGTCGTCAAAAAAACTGACCTGCACGAAAAAGCATGAAGAAAGCAACAACCACAAATAGAGGTAAAGAATTGTTCAATCATTGGGTCCCTTCTGCTGATATATTAAAATAGTGCTGAAGGCAAAACGAAGCCTTAATGACCCCCATGTCCTTGTTTTGTGCAATTTGTGCAAGTAATCAATGATGGCGATTGTGGTGTTTTATGATTAATGTGCACCTTAGCTTCTTAGAGTTTATAAGCAAATACATTCCTCATTTCTCTGGGACAATAATGCAGACTGGGAGAAGAATAACTGTAAAACCACAGGTCAGGACTGTGGAAAAATACACATTTTTCCCCAGTCTTTTAGATATCAGCATCAGATTCATTTTTGGGTGGGGCACCCGTAATGTTTTTACATCTGCAACCAAAAGAGAAACTAAATTACATGACCAAATTACTCATAAAAGTTACCCCTACAGAGCTGCTAAAAATTATCATTCAAAGCCATATCCATTGTTGCACACGGGCTTCTTTCGTGAAACACACTTCCTGATCAGTTAACTAGTAACTACGAAACACTCTAGACAGGTTTGATGACCTTTCTTCAATTTGTGTATGTCCTATCATCAGTGTCAATTTGTCAATTCAAGTCAATTAAATTCAATTTATTTTTATATAGCACTTTTCACAACATGGTTGCCCCAAGGCGCTTAACAATAAAAGTGACCATACATTTTGTGAAAACAGAACAGAAGACCAGAAGACAATGGAGGAGAGAAACCAAATATTCCTCAGCAAGGAGGAAAAAAAACCCTCTAGGGGTCCAAGGTCAACTGGCTGCCCAACCCCTTTGGGCATGCTAACATTATATAATTTTAAAAAAAAGGAAATCAAATAAATATTTTATCAGTCAAATCTTAAAGTGTTTTATTGTTTTACATGTGTGCGGAAGACCCCTTTTTTATTGCGTAGCGTGGCAAGTTCCCACATGAACCATAACCTTATCTTATGTAACCGTCTCTTCCCAGATAGCAGTAGCAATAACCTCTTGGTCGATTCCGGTTGGCCAGGTGCGCTCATTAACCGTCTTCTTACTTACCGGCGTCCCGACCCGGAAAACGATAGAGCCTGCTATCATGACCTCATCCCGCTACGCTCACCGCTTCAGATAACCTTGAGGGCACTGCGGAAAAGGCCCTGTGGAAAAGGCAAAAGGCCCTGTGGAAAAGGCAAAAGGCAATCTTTGACTGCCCCAGGAACCGCTTATATAGGGAGCTAGAGTCACCAGGTGCAGCCAATTCCGTGATTTCCCTATGAGAATCCAAAGAATGTGGCTCTCCTGAATACAATGACTCCATCCCTTGATGATTCACCTGTTCTTCCAATTGCAGTTTCACTACAGTGTGATAAGTGATAGCAAATAATATACATTACCGTTTACATTGAAATTGAAACGATTTCTGCAGTAAGGTGACTGGGACCCTGCTGTTGTCATGCTCGACCCTGCCGATGAAGTGCAGAGCAAGCTAGCATTCCCACGGCAGCTGGCCAAGCCCCTACTCACCTGTTGGTTGTTCTGGTTACATTATCAGAGAGGTACCCTGTACCACCTGTGTGCTATTTACGACCTCTCCTGTCTCAGGTGGATCAGGTTGCTTAAGGTCTGCCCTGGCGGTGCTCTGGGCTCTGTTATAGCTTTCTGCACAGAGCCTTGCCTTCTTCTTAAGTTCCTGTGTTCTTGTTCTGTTTCTCCCTGGGTTGCTTGACCCTTGCTTTGCTCTGACCGCGTCTCCTGGAAATCTCTGCTTTGTGCTTGAACAGTGTTTTCTCAGTATGGCCTTGCTTGCTGGTATCAACCCCATTCTTGGATTTCCCCTTCTGTGCCTCCACGAGTCCTGGGTTTGACCCCTGCTTGTTCTCCTGTCTGTTCCTCAAGATTGTGGTTTCTGTTTGCTATACTTGCCTGCTGCTGCTTGCTTGTCTTGTCTTGCTTGCACTTGGGTACTTCCCACAACTTGCGGACACTGCTTAACAATATAAGCGGCATCTTAACAGCTGTAGCTTCAGATGAGACATTAAACCAAGGTACTGACTGCACGGTCATTAAAGATCCCAGGGCACTGATGGAAAGAGCAGAGATGTTAACCCTGGTGTCCTGGCTCTGTTCAACTCTGAGCTTAAACAATCTGGCTTTCTTCGAGTCAACCAATTTCTCTCCCTTCTCCATCTGATCTGCTGCATAGTGGTGCTGCTGACACATAATGGCAAGCATGCGACAACCAGGAGACAGCACTTCGGTGGAGTATGGAGTGTTCACATTCCTATTTGTAAAGCACTTGCAGATCTTTGGAGATGAAAAACAAAAAACCTAAGATTTTAGAAAAAGAATCTGCGTCATATGGATTATCTAAGAAAATTGCAAGCTGTGGAGATTTACTTTAATTAAACGGTGGCTTCTTCAGAGTGCTTACCTGCATAGCATTAGCTGTTTGCTTTTGAGGAGGAAAAAAACAGGAAGAAATACAGTGAGGAAAAGAACTAGAAAATTTCACTTTAGCCAGTATGAGCATCAGGAAGTAAGTCACGGCATAATATTTGAACTGAAATTGGTTAAATAAATCCAAGGGTCTAGAGAAAAAGTTTAAAACTGGAATCAGTGGAAAACAATAAACAAAGACTCCTTATGCTCAAATCTGTTACCCTTTTTTCAGCAATATCTGACTTCCAGTCCCCTGTTTTTTAAAAGGGAGTGGAAGTGTTCTCATTGTTAATGTTATTGCTTTTTTTCCACGTGGATTTGACTGGACACTGTCTAAGCTTAAACAGTAATGAATAGAAGATCTCGTATAACCCCCTGATCATACTGAAGATTGAGTCTGATAACATTGCAGCTGAGAATGATTAAAGTTTTCATTCCTTCATTAAATGACTGAAGCCTGTAATTATGACAATAAACTGTCATCTTTCTTTAAAGTCCACCTGTTCACCCTGCTGAGTTTAACAATGCAGTCCAATCTCTTTTGACATTGTAATCAGTTTAATTAACAGCTTCCTTTGAAAGACAAGGTGCAGCTCTTTCAGCGCAGGTTTCTAAATATAAGCATCTCTGTTTGGCGGTATTCATTTTAGAGCAGTGAAAAAGGGAACATTTTGCAAATGGATACTTCTGTGACTATGACCATGAAAAAGTTGCATTAGTAAATTCCGCAGTATATTCTCTATACTGTAAAATGTGTGCATATATTGGAAGAAGCAGAGGTTAATTTCATGCTGCAAAGTATAAGAAAACATTTTAATTGTGCAACTGTCTTCAGGTGTATAGGCCCTCCACGCTTATGTACTGCATTGCCATAAACCTGGTTTATCTGTATGCACGAGTTAATATAAATGTTTTGTTTGCCGAAATGGCTCCTTGATAAGTATATTATCATCATTTTCAATACTCCATGAGCAGTAGAGCTTGGACAAGACTTGCACACATCGATCTGTGATCCAGAAGGCTGGAATACAGGACTGCAGTCTGGATGGGATGGAAGTCCACTGCAGGGTGCACGCCACCCACAAGCTCACAGGTGCAGCTCAGAGACACAGGTGAACTAGCCAGCCCACAGGTGGAAGACAAGAGCAAACCAGTGTACCTGGTGTACCTGGAAAAACACCACAGGAAGCAAACTGTGTGCAAACTCCCCTCAGGAGCCTCCACTCCCCAAGTCCAGAATCGAACCCGGGACCCAAGAGCTGAGAGGGCACTGTGCTGTTCTTGGACAAGCCACTCAGTTCTAGAATAGCCGTGTTGACCATTATGCACTTACAACAGTGGCAGTCCACAGTGGGAACCTGCAACTTGAACTCACAACTGAGGAGGGAGAATTAAGGGATTAATGGAGAGTCCACTCTAAAATTAAAAAAATATATATACTGTATATAAGTAACAAATTATCTTATCAAATTAAAAATGCAATATAAAATAAAAAAATAAAAGTCACATTAATTTTTTTTTTAAATAAAAGACATTTAAATTGAAAGACAATTTTAATTAGTTCAGGTGGGGAGCTGTGTCAGCATGCGTAGGCTGCAAAGGAACAAGTAATAATAGAAGGCTCCACAGCCGAAAATGTGTTTTCTTTCTTCTCTTTTCAGCATGTATTAAACTCATTACTTGACAATTTTAATTGGTTATTAGTAGCCAGTTGATCTGAAGATCTGAAGATGTTGTTCAGCCATTAATTGAAAGGAGCCTTTAGCTTTGACAATATGACCCAGTAGTTTGGTACCCTAATACATCCAGCATTCCCCTTTCATTATCTAAGGTGTTTCATTATTTAAAGACTTTATTTCATCCTTTACTGGTATTTTGATATTGGATTCCTAAAAAAAAAAAGTTTACTTTTTACTGTAGTAGTTTTGTTTCAAATGGCCTAATATTTTTTGGCCTGTGCTTGTAATTGATTACATTCCCTTTTGACAGCTGAATCCCAATCTTTCTTTAATTATTCTGTAAAGTGCTTTCTTTTTCTGTATATGCTTTTTGAATGATGTATAAAACCATTGGGCTACTGCTTTCTCATAATGCAACAGAAAATAAGGGAGAACTTAAAGCTGAGGTGTGACACAAGTAAGTACAAGCATATTTAATCTTACAGTAGTATGTGCAGACTTAGTCCATCGTAAATCAGCTGGTGGGTGATACAGAAGGCCTGGAATTCTAAAACATTCGGCAGGTGCATTTCGACGTGATGACAGTCTGAGAGGATCTTTCATTGGTAATGTATAGCCACAAAATAATTTGTACAAGCTCTTCCTCATTAGATCTGCTGTTGGGACTCCTGGTCCCCCAGAAAAAAAAAAACAGGAAATTGGAACCAACCCCTAGTGCAGAAATACAATAAGTCTGTTTGAAGTGAATATTCAGAGCACAGAAAAGGCTGTGTGTAGCCTGATGGTGCAGTGGCTAGCATTGCTGTCTGAACCTGGAGTTCTGGTATCTCAGTATGTGATCTCCCCATGGTCTCTTGGGTTTCCTCCCACAGTCCAAAGACCTACTGTACTGGTAGGTTAATAGGCTTCTGGGGAAAATGGGTGCATGTGTTTGTGTCTATGAGTGCCTTGTGATGGACTGGCATCTCACGCAAGGTGCATTCCGCCTTGCGCCCATTAATTGTCAGAATAGGCTCCAGCTTCATAGAAAATGGTAGAATGCAAATGATAGTGGCATTCCTTTACCTGCTGTGTACTGATTAGATGACCACATGTCAAACGTGCTATGGGTTACAATCTCCCTCAAAGAAAACTGTAATAATAATAATAATATAATTGCTTACACTTATACAGCGCTTTTCTGGACACTCCACTCAAAGCTCTTTACAGGTAATGGAGACTCTCCTCCACCACCACCAGTGTGCAGCCCCACCTGGATGATGCGCCGGCAGCCATAGTGCACCAGTACACTCACCACATACCAGCTCTCAGTGGGGAGGAGAGCAGAGTAATGAAGCCAGTTCATAGATGGGGATAATCAGGAGGCCAAGATTGGTAAGGGCCAATGGGAAATTTGGGCCAATAAGGGCCAATGGGAAATTTGGCTAGGACACCGGGGTTACACCCCTACTCTTTTCGAGAATCTCCCTGGGATTTTTAATGACCACAGAGAGTCAGGACGTTGGTTTTACATTTCATCTGAAGGACGGTGCCTGTTTACAGTATAGTGTCCCCTTCACTATACTGGGGCATTAGGACCCACACGGACCACAGGGTGAGCGCCCCCTGCTGGCCTCTCTAACACCTCTTCCAGCAGCAACCTTAGTTTTTCACGGGAGGTCTCATGCAGGTGCAGTACTGACCAGGCTCACACCTGCTGAGATTCACTGGGCTGCCAACTGTGAGCTGCAGGGTGATGATGGCTGCTGGAAATCAAATGTCTGTACAAAGCAAAGCAAAGCTAAAATCATTCGAAAAACAGAGGTCACCTGCTTGTGAACTCACAGTTCACTGTCCGATCTCCTTTATAGCCCTTGGAGTACTTACACAGTTGAACTATTTTAGTGCTCTAGCCTGTCTAGTTTTTACATTAAGAACCTTTCTTCTCGCAATTATCCATTTTATGCTGTTTTTCCCTCTCCGAGACTATTAACAGATTATACATTACAGAATGTACCTCTCAGACTGATAACTGAGTCTAAAACCTGAACCTATGAGCCTATTGTTGCAGTAATGTTGACTTGCATTGCCCCACAATCATACACTGCTTTTCCTTTCTGATTTTTTTTTGTCTTTAAATGGTCTCAGTCTGTCTGAACAACTTGAGTTTTCAAATTGCTTGATCCTCTGAAAGTATTGAGGCATTTCCTAGTGGTGTAATTTTCTGAAGCAGTTAATGGTTTTGTTACATATAATGTTGGGTGACAATCGGGATTCGTTTCTACTTTAACATGCTGTCTCGATGTTTTCCAGATCAGGCTGAATATGTGGTTCTTACTGAGACTCTGGGTCTTTTCCTTTGTTTCTGCTTCTCTTTCAGTGTTTGCTTAGAAGCCAGTTTTGCCACTATGTACTATAATATTATTATTTTATTTTCTATATTATATTTAATTCCTATCTGTTTTAATCTTTTTTTTCAAATATCTAACTTTTAAACTCGGTAAATATTAACATGTACAGATATTGTATATTCTTTCAAGCAGCAATGTCAGATTTGAAATAACTGAAACTATTACAACAGTGAGAGAAAAAACACTGGCTGTGAGGTTTAATCTCTAGGGTTATGTAATATTTTTTTCATCAGGTCTTACTATTTATCTGCCATATTTCAGTAGCAAACATAAAGATGCCTTACTGTTTCTCTCTACCAGTGAAGATAAATGCCTTATCTTCTTTTTCTTTTTACCCAAAATGTAGATGATTCACTTGTACCGAGAGACATTTGCACATTTACTATTCTGACAGGTTGTTTAGACAGTATAGACAATGCATTACTAAAGTATTCAGACTTGAACATCTTTCACATTCTGTACTGCGGTCATACTGTAAGACTTTAAATTGAAGTAAAAATGAAAAGTCATGATTACATAAGTATTTTTGAACCCTTAGGTGCAAAAAAGTACCTTAACACTTAGTTGACCCGGTTTTGTGCGCAATAATAATGATTATCATGATATCAGTGGAAAAACACCTGTTTCACAGAGCTGCCTTGGTCAGGTACATGAAGAGAAAACACTACTACAACCTTTGCTAAATTCAGAGTTTCTATGTTACACATTTCCCCTTTCAAAGAAAAATAAAAACCATTCAGTTGTCATTTTCCCTAACTATTCTTGTAAGGAAAATGAGAATCTTCAACCTCATCTTTTAGGCATCGAACAAAAAAATAACCGGGGGAAAGGGGAGAGGAGAAAAGGGGGAAAGGAGCAAGCAGAGTGGTCAGGATGAGGAGAGAAGAGGAGGGAAAAGAGAGACAAAGTGGGCGCAGGTCTTCTGGAGTTCCAGGGAGGGTTAATGGTGTTGGCAGAAGATAGAGACAGCTTTTGAGAGTGAGGAACTGCTTTCTCGGGAAAAGGCAAGAACACAACTCCAGTTCAGCTTAACACAACAAAGTTAAGGACTAGCAACACTGAGACGCCTCTTTTAAATAGCACCGTATATTTACACGTGCTGGAAGTTTTTAGGAAAATGCGTAGTGTTTGTTTTTTTAATTGATCATATTCAAGATTCAAGATGTCAAGATTTCTTTATTTGCCAATATACAAGAAGTGTATTGGAATGCTTACTCCAGAGAAATATCTCTCTCTTTGTTTGGAATTTGTTTTGGAACTTCGATTACTGGGCAACTGTGAGTTTGCAAGGCTGTCAGCAGGAAAAGCGCTGCTTTCGCATCTGTGCGGAGGCACCTGCAAGTGGCAAGGAGCACAGCGAGTCAGAGGTCTAATAATAGGTGGCCATGCCAGCGGAGTATGTGCCCTTATTCTCCTTGTGTGGCACAGGGCGTTTTCACGGCAAGATGACTTGATTAATAGGCAGCAAACATAGAAACATAGAAAACGATTTGTTATTGCATTAAAAACAACAGAAATATGAACTAAAGAATTTGGAAAAGAAATATTGGATAGTTGGAATCATTCAAACGAAAAGTCTCAGATCAACTTTGATTTGAATTAGAAGCTCTTTTTTGGAGAAACGTTGAAATCAATTATATTAAACGGCACAAATACCCTCTAGGTAAAGTCAATGGCCTCCAGTCTACATGTGGTCTATAGAACGGAATGTCCACTATGTGCTAGAAAATCCTCGCCGTTATAGTTTTGTGTCCTTGTCTTGCTATCACATTATTTGTTTTATTGGTGGCGATCAGTAAAGATCCCCTTCACATTCCATAATATCCTGCTGGCAGTTGTTATATAGCTCAGTGACCCTGAAAAGACGATACTAACTTGCAAAGTTGTGAAGTGAAAAATAAATCAGGGGACACAAAACAGTCTCGGATGATTCAGCAACAAAAGAAATACATATCTAAAATACGAATCAAATATGTTGCTGTGCTGTGGCCCTCTGCTTCTCAGATTTTGCCTCGCGACCAGTTCAGAATTTGACTGGTTAAATCCATGTATGACCCTGACTTCAGAATCTGAGAATTACAGTGGAAAGAAAGATGTGGGATGTAATTGTGTTTAAGAAGCTGAGTTTCTGAAGTACTAATTATGAATGTCTACATTTCAAGTAATTTGGTGTTGCACGCAGCTGTGCTAATGGAATGTGAACTGTAATTAATTACTGCATATAAAAATAGCACGGCAGCGCGACTGTTTAAATATTAATGGTAACATTAACATATGCTTTATTAGTGTAATTTAAACTGAATTCCAAACCTGTAGAGGTTCTGTATTTGACTGGAGCGTGCAAAACAGACACTTCTGTAGTAACAAAAGCGCAAGCTGTTTGCCTGCTCACCAGGTGCTCTTGCTCGCATTTCTTTCCTCAGGTGTTGGGCCACACCACCCCCATCCTAGAGGACTGCAGTGTCTACGAGTTTTCTTCCCAGCTCAACGCCTGGCACCTTCTCCCTGTTCTTGCGGTGCCTCTGTCTCAGAGAGCCCAGTTCAGCCTGCTGGACTGCAGTCCTTCAGGCCTGGAGATGTAAACCAATGAGCTAGACAGGTGCAGAAGACTGCTCACTTGTAAGCTTTTATTACGTTCTTCTTCTTCCAGTTTGTGGTGTGAAGTGGCGTTTTAACTGATTATGCGTGTCATTCCCTGCCAATTTCCATTCCCCCAACTTGTAACGATTTGGCCAGAATATACTGTCCATGAGCGGTTGGTATATAGTAGGATGCACGTGAATTCTTTGTTCTCTGGCACAGCCTCGTTAAAAAGAGTAATAATTCAGGTACACTTGGTTAAACAAATATTTATTAACAATAACAGTGACGCCCACTACACACAACACACAACACACAAAGCCCTTTATATATACAATAAGTAGAGACAAGGGCTTTCAGAGACCTACACTGTACATTTGCAACAGCTTTTGTCAATGATTGTGATTTGTTCACATTCATACTGTTTGGTTGGGAGAACATGTCACAATCCGATGTCCGAAAATCCGATTGATTGCGGAACTGCTCAGTTGACATCCTACCTAGAGTTAGGATTAGCATTCCCACACTCCATACACAATGTTTGCTCTCAGCGCTGGATTCTGGGGCCCAAGTCAGCTTTAAGATGAGTGATTTTGTGCTCCTATCTGAAAATATTTTTGTCGGAAACTCTGCGGTGCTTGGATGTCGCGGTGCACCGCTCAGTAATTGCATCCCAAAACTGCGTCAGTTGGATCAATAATAAGACATAAGCTGCTTTCTACATTAAATGTCAGACAACCTGCAGTTAAATCTCTTTCACTGCAAATCCAGATGCCACTTAATAAATGAAAGAAGCCTTTTTAAAAAACACAAAGCAGGAACCACAGGACAGGAAAGGGCATTTTTAACCGAGGTACTGTATTCTTCACTCAGGAACTCCGCATTCCCTAAAAACACTGACTTGCAAGGTTTCTCTCTGAGCAAAGTTCAAATATGGAGCTCCAATCGAGTCTTTTCAGATGATCTCGAACCAGGAACTCTCGCCAGGCCCAAGGTCCAAGGTCTCACTCCTCCTGCCTCCTCTCTGTCTTGTGGTCTGACCTTTCCCTCTTTTCTTTTTCCTCCTCTTTCTCTGTCTTTCTGCCCTTATATGGTGTCTTTCTGGACTGTTGTTTGATGCTGAATCGTTTACACAGAACTTAATGAGCTAAGGTGAACTAAGGTAAACTTTCTGAGGGCAAACATCCCCTCTGCTTTGAAGCTGGAGATGTTGACACTGCCAGGTGTCACACGCTTTATCTAGACACTTCCTAGTCACCTATAGCTGTAACACTATTTTAAGGCCTTGTGAAATGTTAGACTTTAAGAATTTAAAATTTCAATTCTAATTGAAATAATAAAAAAGTTAGAAGAAACCATTCTGTGTACAGAATTGTGTACTGCATAACAATTTGGACAGTCGTATTGTTTCATGAGAAGTGGCGCTGAGATATTAAAAAAATAGTGTGCATCACTGTATGTAGAGACTTTTCACTCTGTGCGAACTCCAAGTATGCAGATTTTGAATATTAATTTTAAACGTGTTGGCATCCTTTTTATTAATCATTCATGTTTAAAAGATGATGTTTAAATGTAATACACTTGAGTGCCTTTGTACTGCATAAACAGTAGATCACCTCCTTAGTGGGAGTTGATTGGGCACAGGTGATGAGATGGTTTGACCTGTTGACTGTCTCATCTGCAACCAGGTGCAAGGCCTGTCACAGGTGTTCAGCTTGTGTTGCTTGCAGTGGTGGGCCAGACGAGCAATGAGTCAGTATCAGTATCGTGGTGGTTGTCCTTTGCCTGTGTGTTTGTATCCTCCCCACATTCAAATGCAGACAGTGGGGGCAGGAGGCAGTTAACAAGGATGGAGGAGCTCAAGGTTTGCTGAATTTTCACAACTTGACCTGGAAGTGTCTGGTGTTGCTGGACCGGTTTGGACCAGACCTTAGGCAGAGAGGGACAGGAAAGGCGAAGAGTGCTAGGGCACCACAACAACAGGAAACCTGCGCACTGACATCCAACAACCCACATTGTTTCACTAAGATTTCTCCTGTGAATCAGCTGGACATACCTGCACCTGAATCCGTTACGGCCATACCCAAGACAATGGCAAAGCCCCACTGAGTGGGATTGGCTGTCCGAAAAGGGCATAAGAAACCTGGTTAAAGGGGCTTAAAAAGACTTGCAGTCAGAGAACTCAGGACTTTGGGCTGCAAGAGAGATTGCAGCAGGCGGACCAGGAGAGGGTCCAACTGTCACGATTGTAGCCCCCCTCCCTTAAGGGTGCTCCGGCTCTTCCTTGTTTGCCTCATTCCCCACACCTGTTCTTTGTTCTAGCCTCCTTCCAGCCCCCCTTAAAAGCCAGGCGCTGAAGTAAATCCGGGCTCTGCATCTGATTTCCATATCGTGCGAGCCCGGGACCTGGTTGCGCCTGGCTCCGTTATGTTTTTAAGTTTCTATGCCTGTTCCTGTTCCCCTTGCCGGTTCCGACCCGGTTCCTGTTTTTAAATCCCTTGTCTTGGATGGATCACCTGGCCATGGACTTTTGCCCATTTTTTTTGGATTCGCCTATGGACTTATTCTTTGGATTGTTTACCTCGCCCACACCTTCCCCGTACACCAGCACACCTAAGACACGCCCCCGTCTTCATTCCCGTCTCCTGCATGACGTTTTCCCCAGTGTATCCTCACTACTTCGGATTGTGTCGTCCACACAGGGTCCGGAAAGAACTCTTTCGTTACACCAACTCGAACACCAGAGACTGAGAGCAGAGGAACACATTGTTCAGGATGCCGGGCACCGAAGAAGATGCCAAGAACCACCAGAGGAACTTCACAGGGGGCAGAATACCTGGACTGGAATTTGTCTGGCATGCCTTTTCTGGTAACTGTGGTTCGTGGGGACCTTGTGCTGGTCTGCAATGTGTGCCCCCTGGAGAGAGTTTTGTGTCATGGGCTCTGGATGCTGGGTAGACAGGGTGCTGGCATTACTAGAGAATAAAAAGGGCTCTTAAGCAATACTAACTGTCTTATCTGGTCTGTGGGTATACAGGTGGTTCTGGATGAAGGGTCCTAGTGACATGGTCGGCACAAAGCAAAAGTAGTTACTGCATGCAGGAGTCTCCATCCGTGACATTAACTCATCTTTATTGCTACTATTGCTACAATTGTTCTTCTCTTTTTGTGTTATTTTTTATGCATTACCTGTTGTTTTTGTGGATCCACAATGATTCTCATCACTGTAGTCATTGCCTCTTGCCTGGTTCACAGTTTTGTATCAGGTTGCAGATATTTACTCCCCACTGGTTAAAGTGAGTTCATCAGGGAAAGCTAAGGGAGGAGCTCATGGTATTAAACCTGGCTTTATGGTGTAGCAGTCAGCCTTTGTTTAGTTGTGGCTGTTGGCCTTTCCTTGTCTGTGTGCTGTTCAACAGCTTTGGTTTTCTTAAAAGCCTGACTTAAATCTGTTAATGATGCGTTCCTTACATAACTACAGTTTACATTCTGTGGTGCTCTCTTTCATTTAGATTTTTCTGCACTGAAGTACTTTAATAAATGAGCAGTTGTTTTTACTTTTTGTTTCCTGTGTAGTTTTGTATGATGTCTGTGACCATCCATTGATGTACAACAAGGTCACCATTTGAGTGGAGTGGACCACTGTACACTATGCACAGGAGATTCTAATAATAAGTCATTTTTCAATTATCCGAAAAATGCAGAAGTGAAAAGAAATTGCGATAAAAATCCTGCATGAATTCAACAATTCAAGTATGAAAATACACGAGAGTAATGGTTCATTTAATCTGACTAAAACAAAATAGGCTTGCAGACACACATTTATTCACCCTATTTATTTACAGTGATTTCCTTTTCTGGGTGAGCCATTGACAGATTTTAGAACCATCTTTTTGGTGTAGTTGTCATATTTTAAGAGCAGTTAAGTGCTTCAAATTTGGGACTCCAATTTACTTAATGTCCAAACACCTGAAGAATAGTTTTTTCAAATATTTAAAAGCATTATACAAGCATTAGCACATTAAATAAATTGTGATTTTGGGTCACGATGGTCACAATAGATAAGGGCTTCAATGAAATGTGACAAACAGAATGATCTTAAGCATTCTGAAAAGATGACACCTTAGCAGCTACATCATATAACTTGTGGAACTGTATTTAATTCTGAGTGACACATGGGATCAACAGGAATTATAGTCTTATTTTACAGGGCAGAACATTAAGTTTGAAAAGACAGCCGTCTAAAGCAGAAAGCTGAAAATACAAATTACATATTTGAAGTGTATTGTTTATTTAATTGGCAATAAATGTCATTGAGAAGTGTCTACTCGCCTCAAACTGCTGTCAGGACTGTTCTATTATTTCAAGTTTCTACACAATTATATCTTAAAATTGCATTTCATGCTAAGTGTAATTATGGGATATCTGCAGTGACTTGCAGAACTCATGCACCACAAGACCAACTGGAAATCTAAAACTGTGATGAGAATGCCATCATTAAAAAGCTATCCTGTCATTAAGATGTTTTTATCTACTTTAATTTTTTAGAATGGCTTAATGGTCCACACTTTCTTTGTGCTCCACATTCTCAACTCTTGCTGTTTGAGCAGTTCATCAATCATCTGTTTCTCTGGAGCGATATTGTTCTTGATTATATGGCACCCACTTAAACAGCAGGGAATTCTTTCAAAAGTACTATAGGGAAGTGTCTTGTTACATAGTACTGTAGCAGGGTTCTACGTGAGATTTGTACCCATGATATTTCAGTTACATTTCAGTTAGCACCCTAAACACTGTGCCACACTGCTGCCCTGTAATCATGAGAGCATGATCATAGAGTGACCTCAAGTTGCCCTGTGTTACTAGTTTGGAGTTTTGAAAAGTACCCTGCCCTCTCTGTATGTAGAGTGTTCTTCAGTTCAAGCTGAGCTCCAATAACACCACAACCTACCTGGTCAATAGGTTTTACATGATTTCTGTGATATTTGTTCTTATTGATCAGTGCTATCCCCCTGCTACTAGGTACTTAACTTTACCTTTCTTATGAAGAGTATTCTAAGAGAGAAGTGCAATGAAGCATGGATGACTAACTCCAACACTGTCTGACCCAAATAAAGAAAATACAGTTTTCTTCCGGCATTTTTAGAAGACAGGGTTCCCGAAGCTAAATAAGTTGTAGAATATTGTGTCACCATGTTACAAAAACAGTATTGCTGCTCTGGGACCAGTTCAGAGAAGAGCCTTTCTGGGCTCAAAGCCATGTCCTACATTGACGGGTTAAAAGGCCTGAATCATTTTAATCTTGAACTGAGAAAACCACAAGAGGATAAAGATCTTCAAGGAGACTGACTTTACGATTTGATCATATGGACTTCTTCAGAACCAAGAGTGAAACACGAACCAGAGGACTGGATGAGATTGTAGAACTAAGTAACCACTAGCTGCCTGTGAGTTAGAGAAAGGTGAAAGATGTTTTCCTGTTCTGGGTCTTCATCCTTCCTTTTCCAGTGGTGTGGCCTTTGTTCAAGATGGCCGCCTGATAATTGAATTAGCTGGCCCGACTGAGTCCTTTAGCACTCAGAGAGGAAGGAAGTCCAAACGAGAGAGAAGGATAAAGGCATTTCGTCTGCATGTAGGCTCCAGTTAGGGAGGAGAAAGCGTGAGGGCTCTGTAGATGTGGGGCTATTGCCGGAGATGGTTTGGACTGACTGGCTGGCCTGTGTAACTCGAAGAAGAGCCCGAGGCTGCAGTGAGGTGGGGTTTCCAGCCCCATGGGATGGGATTGCACTGCCATGAAACAGGGCTGGCCTGCTGGTTTAGGACTGACAGGAGGTGTCAGCACCTGGGAATCCAGATCTTGGAGGGGATGGCGAAAAGGTAACACTTAAAATGCTGAATAGTCACGTGACGAGTCAGCATTGAGTAGTGTGAAGTGTAATTCAGAGTGTAAGGCCTGGCTTTGTCCCTGCTAATTGGTCTCCTCTCTCCAGTAGCCTGTAGCCAAAGCTTAAACCAGTATGTTAGATTTAATGCATGAAAACTACAGATATATTGTGGTAAATGTCTGTAACTATGTACTGTATTTATGTTCTATTTTCATTCAAGATCGCAAAAGAGAGCTGAAGTATTGTATAAGACAGGACGCTTGTGATCATTTTTATAGCTTAACTGGCTACTTAGCTGAAAGAGGTGAAGGTTAATTTTAGGAATTTAGGAGTTTAGGAATTTAATATTGGTATATTAAAAACTATTCAAATGGTACATGAAAACATACAATTGCTTCTTTAAGATAGAATAAGCAATATTGATTTTTTTTTTTACAATATGTAGTTACAGATGACACTGCTGCTGTATGAAATACATTTGTGTAGTGAGATAAGAACATAGGTCAATTCGCCCAAAGATAGTACGTGTTATTTTTGGAAATCTCATTAAACAACCAGTTCATAGTATGTGGTGAAAACAACTAAACAAAAGATGTTGTTCCATTATCAGTGGTTCTGAACATACCCTTCCCGGGACAAATTCATTAAATTTAATTTAATAAATTATGTCTTACAATCACAATTAACCGTTCAAACACTTCTGTGTCATATTAAGTAAGGCCCGATTGTTTGAAATAATTTTTAAAAGCATTGTTATGCAGGAATATCTTTAAATTAGCAAGATCCTCTCCCCAAGTTAGCCACCAGTAACTTTTATCATCTTTTGGTAAATCATTTTTTCATATGATATGTTTTGGTCCTTTTTTTTGTAATATTCCATTGTAAGGTCATCATGAATAAAAATCTCAACTACAAACGAGAGAGGGTGGGAGAAGTACAGAGGCTGACAGTTTCTATTACTGTTTTTCTCTTCTGACTTGTAGCACAGGCTTTCTTTTCCAGACGACATCTAACTCTTACTGTACTAATTGCTAGTGACATTCGCTCGGACTTCAGGGGCTGTTTGGATAACAGATCTCACATTTTAACATGAATAATTCTAAATATCTGTACCAAACTTACCGGGGAAAAATAATTTATTTCATTAATTGCTACAACCAAAGCCTCAATCATGAAGTTGAATTTTCCTCTGTGAGATGTGATTGTTACCCTTTTCAAATGCTTACGACTTTATTAATTTCTTAATTTGTATTTTTGAGCTCAATTATATTCTCTCCTCCCACTACATCCATTTTTTGGCATTTATTCCAAGAGAAATTTAATAACAGTTGGCAGGTGTTGACATTGTAATTCCAAATGTTGTGCTTTGAATTTAAAAAAAATTCTTCCAAACAACATAAATGTCTTAAAACACTAAGAAGACAGTAGGACAAGTAAGGAAAAAAACACAATTTGTCCTGAGGGAGCAACACTACCTGCACAATACCATAATCTACACCATCAAGGTCCGAATCTGAACTGGTTTTCACAGACGCTCACCTCACTCCCAGTCTGAATCTGAACTGGTTTTCACAGACCCTCACCTCACACCCAGCCTGAATCTGAACTGGTTTTCACAGGCCCTCACCTCACTCCCAGTCTGAATCTGAACTGGTTTGCATTGATTTTCTCCTCACTCTGTCACTTTCCACCGATCAGCCTCTCTCCCAAGTTCATTGTGTAGCTATTTTTATGTGGCTTCAGGTCTCCTTCCTTTTCAGATTTAGGTCTCTGGGAAGGAGCTGGAAACTCTCATCTTGCCCACGTACGCCTACCTATGTATAAATATCGCTCTTCATGCTTACCAGTTGAGTTTTCATATCCCTTTGTTTGCCCCTGCAGCAGTGCCCTGGCTCATCCTTCATCAAAGAGGGAGGGTGGAAGGTTTGACAGATTTGACTGAGCTCCTGCATGAGGAGTGGTAGACTAGAATGACCAATAGAATAGTGCCACACAAGACAGGAAGTGAACAAGGGGAGCAGTGTCCTCACACTTTGTGTGTGATTGCAGGAAAGATATGTACAGTATGTATTTGTAATGCAGGGACATAACAGTTGGTCCCTGCACTGTTCCTAGCCTTGTGTCTCACTGTGGTTGGAGCGGTGGCTCTGTGGCTAAGAATCTGCGCCTGTGGCTGGAAAGTTGCTGGTTCGTATCCTGTGGCTGGCAGAGGACTCCTACTCTGTTGGGCCCCTGAGCAAGGCCCTTAACCCCAGCTGCTCCAGGGGCGCTGTATAAATGGCTGACCCTGCGCTCTGACCCCAAGCTTCTCTCTCCCTGTCTGTGTGTCTCATGGAGAGCAGCTGGGGTCTGCGAAAAGACAAATTCCTAATGCAAGAAATTGTATATGGCCAATAAAGTGAATTTACCTTATCTTTAATCCAGTCGACATATATTTCTCTTGGACTTCAGCCAGATGTGCTTCAGCTCATGTTGGTGGTCTGCTCATCGCTAGACAAGACATTTTAATTCAGCACTTGTATTTGGAAGAGATCAGCAACATCAATAAAGTCTTATCCATCCATGTGTCACACAAGGTGATAGATACTTGTTGAAATAAAGATCTATTCTTTAACAATGCGTTAAAGCTTATGAAATGCTA